CAAGGAAACATAGGTATTTTCATCCTTGTTTTTATTTTATACAACTAAAGAAAAATCTTTTCACTGTTCATCTGCATATATCATATAATGGATTTCTGCAAATATGTCAACCATATAACATATGTTTTTCATATGGACAAAATCACTTCAGATGAGAGAATAAATCAATGGAAATGAATAAGAAAAAAATTAAGAGACTTCTGGAAAACTAATTTGAAACTTTTGATATAGAAGTTAGTTTAATATAAATATGGTTTTACATACATACACACATACACACACACAGTGGTATGCAATATCAATGGAAAACTGCTCACTCAAAAATGTATTTCTTTAGTTAACACTAAGACTGTAAAGTCATATTTATATATACGTATACCCTCTCACAAGCAAAAACAAAAGTTATTGTTATTTTTTAAACTGTTTTATTCTTGGTAAAATGTAATGATCACCATCTAGATTATCTTCGAGTTTTAATGATCTTAGATAGAATTTCTTAAATATAATCTTAAAGAATAAGATCAAAGTATGTTGCTTTATATGTACTGGAACTGGTTATAACTTAAAGAAATTTTTCCATACCTTGGAAAAATTTGATTTTTTGATAAGCAACATTGTGATCTCTTGTATTACTTCATCAAGGGATTTTCTGTTAATTTAATATGTATAAAATTGTATTAACATTTTTTTCATTGCATATTCTTTTTTGTAAATTTTCAGAATGATTAAAAGGAATACATATTTTTGCTTCTTCATAGAGATTTTTATTGAAATTTTCTACATTTGTTGTTTGAGATAAAGTAAAGTCTACATTGGTTAGCCACAAGAGTTTTTTTCAAAGTTCCTAATTCATTAGAAGACATAGTTTAAAACTGGAAACTGCTCCATATTCCATATTAATGTGTATGGAACAATTTTTTTCATTTTTATTTACAACTTAAAATTTAATATTTTGCATTCCATAATTCATCAGTTGAATGTTTTCTGGCAAATGTTAAGAATTCTTTTTAAATATTTGTAAAAAACTCATTTCCACAGTTAAATAATAATTGTAATTGTTATAGGAAATCGTTTTTATTTGAAAGTAAAATTCCTTCAGGCAACATAATTGTTATAAGTAAACAATTTTTATAAGGAAACAATTAGTTTTTTTTTTATTTATTTTGCATTTCATTTTATATTAATTGGTCATTTTGTATAAGTTTAAGAATGATTGTCATATCTACTTGTTGTTTAAATTCAGTAGAATAGCAACTTTCCTTTTGATTATTATGCTTAATATTTGTGCCCTTTATAATTCAATGTGTCATGTACCATCAGTACATTGATGAACATGGCTTTCCACAATTTCCTTTCCTTCGTAGCTGTTAATAAATGTTGTCTTTTTGTTATCTCTTCTAAACCTTGTTCTACCATCCATTTACACAATGTTGCTTGGTAGGTTATGCATTTTTTCTCTGTCTTCCTTGATGTCACTATGTCCTGTGAGTATCAAATTTTCCAAGTCCTCTTTCCTCATTATGTGCCCTAGAAATTTCAACTATCTCTTTCTGATGTTAAGTATAGGTGTCCTTTTTTGTTTCCATTTTCTCTAAAATTTTGTCATTGTTTGCATGTTCAGTCCATTGTATTCTCTGTATCCTTCTGTAGAACCATATTTCTGTTGCTTCAAGTCTCTTCTTTTGTGAGGAAATTGTCCAACTACACTGTCATATAGAGGGACTGATGTTATGTAACAGTTCAGTACTCTTTCCTTTGTTTCTAACAAATTTTCCTGTTTCTTAATATTTTGCTATTCAGATTTCATTGCTCTGTTTTCCATCCTCTGTTAAAAACACTTCCCAGACATTTAAAATAATGTACTTGTTTGATTTTGGTATCTCCAATTTGTAATTTAGTTGATCTGTCCCTTTTACTGGCAAACATGCATTCTGTCTTCTTGCAATTAATGTTTAGTCCTTTCTACTCACTCATTTGATAATAACAACTTCAGTGTCCATTAATTTGTATTTTAGAGTTTTTTAGATTATATTGTTCAGTTAAAAATACACTTCTGTCTGTATTTAGCTCAGACTTTTCTTTTCAAAATTAGTTCAGTGTTTTCATCACCCCTTGTAAAGAAAATATTTTTGAATTTTTATTTCTACTTGTTTTTCTTATGAGAATTTCAGATACTTGTGAATTATTCATGTGTTGAAAAGTTACCACTCCTAAAAAATATATTTAGTAGATATTTTTATAAAATATCACTGACTACCAAGTGATTATTTGGACTGTTTCCCCACCTTATGTACAATTTTTTTATTGAAAAATTCAGCTAAAATAAGAACCATTAAATCATATTAAAATCATTTATCTTGATTTTTCAAGTCATATATTGTAAGATTCACACATTACATTGCAAATGGATAAAAATATAATCAAAATGCCAAATCAAAGAATTTTGAAACTTTTGTTTTTAAATGCTATTACTAATATTACTAAGACGTTTTTCTTCTGTTTTCAATTTATAGTTAGTGTTTCTATAGCTTTTATTTCCCTACACTTTTTTTATCAATTCTTGTTAGATATTTTGGGATTGTTTCCCACAAGTTTCTTCATTCTGGTAACATTCTTGAGTTCTGGAGATGACAAATTCTTTGAAGGCATTTTTTGGGCTGTTTTGTTGTTAAAGATTTTTCCTTGCAAGAAGTTGTCAAAACACTTGAAAAAATCATAGTTGCTTGGAGAAAGGTCTACTAAATATGCTGGATGAGGTAGTTTTTTATATCTTAATTTTTTCAACTTCTAGAGCATTGGTTACTTGACATATGATCTTGGGCAGGAGGATTGAATGTTTCTACTAATCACTACTGAACACATATTCTACAGTTTTTATACATTTCATTCATTTCATGACAGTACTTCTCTATTGTGTTTGTTTTTACCAAGATTCAAAAAGCCATATTGGTTTAATCTGGTATCAGGCAACCAAACAGTCACCATAAACCATAAACTTCTTTCTACAGCTTTGAGGAGTATTTTGGATATTCATCTTAGTTCAACTACCATGCTGTATTTGCTGGTTGTTGTAGAAGATCCATTTTTTATCACATGTCATGATAACATCAAAAAATGAGTTGTTTTTGTTGTGCAAAAGGCAAAAAAAACAAATTTCATAACAATGTTTTCTGGTTTTTGTTTAGATTGTGTAGCACCTATGTATTAAGCTTCTTCAACAATCCAATTTAATTCAAATGTACAGAAATCATTTCAATGTTTGCTATCCTGAAAGCTTTCAATCAGTTGTGTGAGGATTTGCTTCCACCAAAACCTTCAATTTATTGTTGTCAATGGCAGAAGGATGTTCGCAACCTTCCATATTTTCAAATTCCATCCACCACAATATAATTTTCAAAACCAATGTTACACTGTGCATTAATTAAACCTTCCTTGGTCCAAACTTCACAGATGTTTCTTGTTTGTGCTTCACTATGGCCAAGTTTAATCTCATAGAAATAAATTTGGTTAAAATCTTGTTTTTATATCCTAATTTCAAAGATCTGAAAATTGACAAAATGAAATTTATATTAAAAATAGATTAAATAGACAGAAAGAATCTAAAATAAGCTTTAAAATTATATGTATTTTACATACCATGCACAAGTCTTATTCTTTAAAAAATTTAGACACATACAACTTTTACTAATTTCTGAACAACTTAATATTTTGAGCAGAGTGAAACCAATTATCATAAGGTGATGTAGCTGTTATTTCTCGTGTTTCATTCCAATCAAGTTACAATTTATAGGAAGTAACAAAACTATTATCTGAAAAATGTGAAGAAATTAAGGTGGAAATTGAAAATCAGAAACAAATCTATAACAAACACAATTTATCAATAGAATACACAATTACAATTATGCATGTATTTTCTATATATTCTTAACAATCTGCTCAACAACATGCAGAAAGCAAGAAAGAAGATAAATGTGAGAAGCTCATTTTTACATGTTTTCTAAAATTCAGCATAAAAATAAAATAATTACTATATTTACTGTTGTATAAGTGTATTTTTCCATAAAATCCCCAAAGATCACTGTGCATATTATAGCTGTAGAAGTAAACATCAATATATTAGTCTCTCAATGATGCTAAATTAAATATATACTAGAATATATATATATATATATATATATATATATATATATATATATATATATATATATATATATATGAGTCATCAGTTGAACATTTTCAGTTTTTCATAAAATTCTTTGCCAAGTTCTAGAGTCATTTTATAGGCTGGTATATGCTATAGATAAGTTATGCAGGTAATGTAACAGTTATTGGCACATAAAATGGAATCAGTGAACACAGTTCAAATTCCAGTTTATTCTATTGCACTCACTTTTGCAGTAAAACCCTTGGGAAAAGCATGAAGCTATCATCTCTCCTCAGCTCTAGGTTAAATAGCAGGATAGACCAGGCTCTCTAGACTTGAGTAGCAGTCATTCAAAGAGAGGTGCTACTCTGAACATAAATCCATGGAGAAGGTGAACAGAATCCACTCCATAAACTTTCCCAAAAAGTCTTGACATTTCACATAGAATAAAATAAAAGGAACCTGAACAGAACCATAATCATTTTGTTACTTAAAAGACATGGCATTAAACAAAAAGATGCAATATGGTGGGAAATATGGTATGAGTAAAAACACATACTCTTAAAAAATAGATGTGTATAAAAGTAATTGAATCCTTGGTCCTGAAGATGTAAGCTGTGTGTAGCAAATAGTTTAAAAAACTGAAAACTAACAAAACTTTTGAGCAGAACAGTTAGGTTTTCTAACCAATAGGCCATCTTAAACAGACATCTTTGACTCAGTTAACAATTTAATATTATCCTCATGTGACAAAATCTATTGTATTTTGTTCTATATTTTATATCACTTAAGATATGTTTTACACTGTTTGGTATTATATATAGACAATTCCATTGTTTGTTTTTGTTTTTTGCAGGCTCTACTGTACACTCATGACAAGGTGGCCTGTCGTGACTATGAACCAAAATTATTTTCTCTTCCACATGAAGTTAACGAGGCTGAAGAAGCTGTCAAGATTGTCAGGATAATCAAGAATGAAGAGCCACTGGTAAGTAAATTGATTTCTTATAATTTAGAACTTATGATTTTTAGATCAGATTCCAGAAAAACAATTTCTAAAAAAAGATTTGTAATTGATAATTTTTTTTGTGTCATCGTATCATTTGATTTTATCTGATTCTTCCAGTTAATCATTATTAATACAGAAAAATCTCATGCTTATTACAAAGCTTATCTGTTAATTCATGAGAAATAATCATAGGCCAAGCAACTGAAGGACAATTTCAAACTCAGAAATTATTATAATATTAATCTCATGTCCAAGAGTTTTATCTCCACAGATAAAATGTCACCTGATATCAAAGTTATTGTCTACAAAGCAAGATGAACAACTAAATACTCTATAAAATATTCTTCATTTTACTATCAACTATAAAGTACTTTTGTCTATATAACTACAAAAACTAATTCTACAAAAATATAAAATTTCTAATAAATTCATAACTATTTCATTCTTTTACTTTTCATATCATATGCCATTGTCAATTTGCTGACAGCTTCTCCAGACATATTAGATAGGCACCAACATTTCTATATTTTCATTTCTGGATTCTGTGTAACCCAAACTTACAGAATAACATTTCTAACTATTCCAAAGATCATTGCTTTTTATCTTTCCTGCTCAACAAACAGAATAAAGGTGCCAATAACAATTCTTTAAAAAATCGTTGACATTTTCTGTTTGAAATCATCTTAAGTATTTATTTCTGCTATTTGAAACTATCATTACATATTGTTGTTCTCCATTTTCCTCTTCCCGGAAAATCTATTTCTTGTTGCTTCTGCTTCTCTTTTAATCTCAAATCTTCTTTTCTGTCTTTTGTATCTGCACTTACCTTAACAAGAGAAGAAGAATCTCTATGCAACATGCATTACAAATATTTCTAAAGCAGCAGCAATACATTTTATAGATTGTTTAGCCTATCAAGATAAAAGCTACATTTTTTATTACAAATGTTGATTTCTACTTTAAATATATTCTTTTTTATGGAAGCTCTTCTGTTACATAGTTGCTGTGTTTGTTGATGATTTTTATTCTCTGAAAAAGAAAGAATTGGGTTATTTCTGCACATTGATTTCTTATCCTATTCTACTTAAAAATGTCTCTAAAATTAGTCATATTAACATTTCAATACCTATATTACCTATCTATAGACATATGTAGGTAATATTCAGCAGATTAGTACTCTTAGCTAAAAGTATACACTATGAAATTGCCTTGATACTGCTTCAAATCTATACATTTTTGATGCACTATTTTTAAAGGAAAAAATACATTTAATTTTTCCAAAGTTATTTATCAAGAAGAACTACAGAAGCAAACCTAGGATTAAATTAAAACTGTCATTTTTATAATTTCAAATAATCAAATCCTTCAATATTTGTCTATATTTTTCAGATGAAGTATTGTAATTATTTATACTATTGACATTGTTAGACAGTTGCCCTCATTTTTATTGTCACATTCATAATATTTTGGGTGTTGCATGCTCTGGCCTTTTTCAAGTGATACAAATTGAAATTTCAAACCAAACCCTTTATTTTGTCCACTGTGGTAGCTTGTTCAAGGACACATGGCCCAGTAGATAAAAGCATTGGTTGAAGTAATCCAGTGACTTGATCCAAAGATTTGTGAGTTCAGTACCTGGCCACAGCAGAAACATGGAGAGTTGAGTTACTAAAGGGAAATAACTGAAACTGAGCTATCCAGAAAAACCATGGCATGTGGATCTAGAACAATCTACCCTGGTAGATGAAATAAAGGGTTCAGTTTGAAATTCCTAAAGAAGTTTGGCTGAAATATCATGAATATGATAATAAAGATGAGGATAATAGTCTGAACAATGTGAATAGTATAAATAATCAAATCCTTATTTCTTCACCATAAGCCTAAAATGTATTTTTATATTATTGAGAGATCAAAGAAGGATGTTAGCAATTTACAAATGTTTTTATTCATCATTTTTTGTTTACTGTTATGAAATGTGATTTCCTTTGTATTTTCTCAGTCTTGCGGTATCATATTCTTGCTCATCCACTTACTGCTTGAGCATTTATATAGCCTCTATGCTTTAGCTATGCTAATTAGGCTGTCATTTACATATCATTACATTTTTAGTTTGTAAAGTTTTAATTGTTTATTGCTAAACCATTGGTTGACATGGTTTTAAAATTTGAAGTTATATCTATACAAGCCCTAGCTAAATTGACCAGAAATACACAAAAAGTTCACCTGCAATGTAGGTAATTTTCATGGCAGTTCTCTGATCAGTCTCTGTTTATGCACTTTTTTTTTAACTTCTTGCAGAAACAATTTGTTTGTCATGTCAATTACAAAATGTGCTAAACAGTCTCATGCTTATAGAATCATCCTACAAAAAAAAAGTTTATATGCAAAAGCAGAACTGTTGTCAAATTAACCTTGAAACTTTTTTTTACCTTGAGGTAAGTAAAGAAGACATTGAAAGAAGCAGTGAGGTTTTTACAAAAAGTAAAATAAGCTTGACCTCAAGTCTATGTGATGTTTTTTTACATTTTGTCAGTGTAGAGCCTTAAATTGTATGGAAGCCTAGGAATGAAAAAGTATGTGACAAATGAGATCCAACCAAGAAATCTGAATTCTCTCGTAGACCCTCCAATTTTAGTGAGAAACTAAAGGCGACACCTTGATTGAGCTTCATGGGAAATACAATGACTGGAAGGAAATGTAAAATGATTGATGATTGGTTTAAACTGATAGTTTGATCAAGGCAGGAACTCTGAATATTCTGAATAGCAGAGTTCAAAGCCACAAATAATGTACTTTGAGAAAATTAGCTAAAAGAATAAAAACAAATTTAATTTCATAATTTTGTGATTTGTATCCAGATTCTAGGTTATGCATATTTAATTTTAGTAATTTCTATTTATATACTTACAATAATATTCACTCTTATATTTACAAACTTGCTTTAAGGCTTTTTATGGGAAAAAATTTTTTTAAGAAAATTATAATTATAAAATTCATTTTATATACTTCTTTTTAATGGAAGTATATAAGATGAATATTTTTCAAGAACTGAAGCAAGCTATGAAGCAAATGAGATCAAGGAAGTCCCCTGACCCAGACAACATCCCTTTCAAACTGATCAAACATAGAGGCTTACCATTACAAATCACCATTTTCAGCCTCATTCTGAAGATGTGGGAATCACAACAAATTCCTAAAGAACTTTAAGATGCAGCCATCATAACAATCTTCACATAAGGTGACTGAAAAGCCTTTGGAAACTATAGAGGAATATCATCACTGGAAAAGTCTTTACCAGGATCCATCTAAATCAGCTCCAGATCATCACCAAAAAGATCCTAACAGAATCTCAATGTGGTTTCTGTGCCTCTCATGGTAAAATCTACTTGAGTTCCTGTTTTAAGGTAGCTCTAAGAGAACAAGTATTGTGTGACATGTATTCCACCGAAACATGCTATCAGAAGAATTTTCAATCACATGCAGGCTAAAACAAGGCACCTATGGTATTCTCTTTGTATCTGGCTGCAATGGTTCATAAATTTCCTCCAGACAATCCAGTAGTTAACATCAGATATCAATATGATGGAGAACTTTTCAACCTTAGTAAACATTTTGATCTAAACATCTAATATACAGGCAACACATCTCAGGACTTTAAGATGCTGATGATTATACTGATGCTGATGATTATACTGCCTTGTGTCATTCAAAGAGAGGACTCCAACAGAATGGGAACAACTTTATTATGGTCTATCATTGTTTTGGCCTTACACTAAAAGAAAACCAAGATCCTTACACAGCCAGCCTTTTTGTAAAAATTTCATTTCTTTGTGTTATGTTGTATTTGTGGGCATGACACTCAGATTTTAATTCTTCAGTATCTGTCTATATCTCTGAGATGAAGTATTATGTATACTATTTACATTATTCGGACTATTGTCCTCATCTCTGTCACCATATTTATTACAACGTTTAGGCCGTTGTACACTCAGCTTTCTTCAGGTGGTTGGAATGTCAAACTGAACCCTTTATTTCACTCACTGTCGTAGACTGTTCTAGTTCCACGTGCCATGTCTAATGGATGTCAGTTATCAGTTATCTCCTGTTAATTCTTCTCTCCAAGTTCTCCACCACCTTAAACAGGTATTGAACTCACTCCTTGGGTCCTGATATGAGCTCTGGTAAAAACATAGCATGTTTTTACCAGGGCTCATATTGCAATTTTTGTTGTCATTATTGCTTTTCTCTGGTTCCCATATTCTATTCATTTCTATGCTTGATCGGCTCAGGAGATTTTTGTGGCCTAGCATATGTGCTGATTCCTTAAGTTTGTGAATTTTCCAATGATGTTCTTTGTCTATGATCTCAACCTGATCCCACAGAGGGTGGTGTTCTCCCTTTTCTCTCCATATGTGGTCAGCCATGCCTGATTTTTCCACTTCCCCTCATGTTACAGCTCTCTGATGTTCTTGAAGCCTTACCTTAAGGGGACTGCCTATCAACGCTTTTGTATTTCTTTCTGCAGCTGCACGGGATAGCGTACACACAGTCTTTAGTCATGTTCTCCTCTATGGAGGGGAGTGGTCTTACTCAGGAAAAATATCTGTGAAGTGTCATCCAGTTTTTGAAGGTTGTCCTGATACTATATGGGAACCAGTAATTAGGAGTCCCAGAGAAAAGCGATAACAATAAAAATTGCAATATGAGCTCTGGTAAAAAAACGAAATGGTAACAGCAAAAATTGCAATATGAGCTCTGGTAAAAACATGAAATGATAACAGCAAAAATTGCAATATGAGCACTGGTAAAAAATGATGCTGAAGACATACCCAGAAATTCATACACAAATGTCCTCAAGGACACATGGCACAGTGGATAAAGGCTTTAGTTAGATCCAGTGACAGGACCCAAAGAGTGTGAGTTCAATACTTGATTAAGGCGGTGAAGAACTAGGGGAATTAACAGGAGATAACTGATCA